AAAATATTGACAATTAACAGTGAACAATGAACAATTGACTATGTGTATCATCTACTAATTTTTAACATCGTTCGCACTGAATGAGCAAAATTACGAAAGCATTAAGGACTGTGATAAATGAACAGAAGATGGGTAAGGCAAAGAAGATTCTATGATGCCAATATTGAGACTGATCAAAATGGAATATTTCTAAGGGATTGAGAACAAATGCTAGTGTTGCCAAGAAACACGGAAACTTAAATATTACAGAACGATGCGAAAAATTGGGAGGAAAATTTTCTGCAGTGTGCTGAAAAAACCGATTTTGAAAGGAAAGTGATGTTTTCACAAAAAAATTTTCTTAGCAACACTATAGCATTTGTTCTCAATCCCTTAGCAATATTCCCTTCCTCCAAATTCCGTTTTGATCAGTCTCAGTATTCCACTTATAGAATTTTCTTCGTGTTGACCACTTTCTGTTCATTTAATTCAAGGAATATTTTCTTTGAAAAGGAATATTAAAGAATAATCGGCTAACACATTCAGCAACAACTGATGAAGTTCATATTGAATATAATTCTGTTAGTGCTTATCACTGCTCTATCCGCTGTTGTTCTGTACGTTGGACCGAAAGCAATAATTGCGTGTGAATGGCGTGATGAGCAAATTGATGTCGAAATTGGTATGAGCACCGCAATTCGTGTACGTTATTATCTCATATTATTCACATGATTTTTTCAATTGTTATGAAAGTGTTTTTTGATTCCACCAAATTTTGGTCACAAATTTGGATTGGAATTTTCGGCAGAAACTTGAGAAACAATTCAGTTTTGTTTTTTCTTCGTTGAAGTGTCAATTTATTTTGACATGAATATGCAATTCGATTCGGACAAGATTACTTGGGGTGTCGTTATACGACGAGACATATTTTCAGGCGTTTGATATACGATGACGCATATCAAACTGTTTTACTGAATAAAACTTCCGGAATATATTTCCTAGATAGCACACTTAAAAGAGATGTATTTGTCTGACGTAATGGACATGTTGAGAGAGCATGTGACGAGGTCACTTCATGCTTGATGCAAGAAAACGTTAACGAAGAGAGGCAGACACAAAGAATATTCTAGATCATTCGTATCTCTCGTATACAGGCTATGAGAATGAAATGAGAGAATATGTGTGAGGACAGCAAAACACAGCATGAGAGAGTTGGAATAGAATATTCTAGAATATTCTATCCCAACTAGAATATTCTAGAATATCCGCGAACATTCTACGCCAACCCTATATAAAGCGTATCTGATCAGCTGTGAAATCAGATACTGTTTGAAAGAACAAGTGTTCTTCAGTGTGCTACTGTTCAGGCTCTTATCGATATTGTTGATACTGTTTACTGATCGTGTTCAGTGATCTATAATCGCACGCTTTACTACGAATCCCTTATTCCTTTCGTGAATCTGTTGAATAGTCGTCAACAAATCCTCGTTGTTATCCCNGTCATCCAGGAATTTTCCTATCCATTCCAGCATCCGAATCCATCGGTTCGTCAAAACCGCGAACAAAGCAGAATCACTGTCAACTGATTGTTGTAAGGTGACCAATCGACAGCTATTAAGCACTCTGACTATGTCGTCTTCATCGACTTGCAAAGCGATTGGTATTGACCTCGGCACAACCTATAGCTGTGTTGGTATCTATCGCAATGGTCATGCGGAAATCGTTGCAAATGACCAAGGCAACAAAACAACTCCTTCGTATGTGGCATTCAACGATACTGAACGTTTAATTGGCGATGCGGCTAAAGAGCAAGTGGCAAGGAATGCGGAAAATACGGTATTCGATGCAAAACGTATGATTGGACGTCGTATGGATGATCCACACTTGCAGAACGATATGCGTAATTGGCCGTTTAAAGTGATCTCAAAAGGTGCCAACAAACCGGCCATCGAGGTGACCTTCAAAGGCGAACGTAAAGTGTTCTATCCGGAAGAGATCTCGTCAATGATTCTGCTAAAAATGAAGGAAACAGCCGAAGCGTATTTGGAACACAAGGTCTCGGAAGCCGTCATAACTGTACCGGCCTATTTCAACGATGCACAGCGACAGGCCACAAAAGATGCAGCAATAATTGCGGGTCTCAAACCACTACGTATTATCAATGAACCGACGGCCGCAGCTCTAGCGTATGGTCTCGATAAGAAGTTGGATGGTGAACGTAATGTGTTGATATTCGATTTGGGTGGTGGTACATTCGATGTGTCCATTTTGAGCATCTCAGAAGGCTCACTGTTCGAAGTGAAATCAACAGCCGGTGATACACATTTGGGTGGTGAAGATTTCGACGATCGTTTGGTGAACTATTGTTTAGAACAGTTCAAACGTGAGCATCGTAAAGACATCAGACACAACGCTCGTGCACTGAGACGTCTTCGTACGGCGTGTGAACGTGCCAAACGAACCCTGTCAAGCTCCACTCAAGCCATTATCGAAGTTGATAGTCTGCATGAAGGTTTGGACTTCAACTGTCGTATAACACGTGCTCGATTCGAAGAACTTTGCTCAGATTTGTTCCAAAAAACTCTTGCGCCAGTCGAGAAAGCGTTACGCGACGCCCGTATGGACAAACATTCAGTGAACGAAGTTGTACTGGTCGGTGGCTCGACTCGAATTCCAAAAGTGCAAAAACTACTGACGGATTTCTTCGGTGGCAAACAACTGAATCTATCGATAAATCCTGACGAAGCGGTTGCATACGGTGCCGCAGTCCAAGCCGCTATCCTGAGCGGAGTTCAAGACAACTGTGTCAAAGACGTTTTGCTGGTGGACGTTCAGCCTCTGTCGTTGGGCATTGAAACGGCAGGCGGTGTTATGACAACGCTAGTGAAACGCAATACCCGAATACCGACAAAATGCACACAAACCTTCACCACGTACTCTGATAATCAACCAGCTGTCAGTATTCAAGTGTACGAAGGAGAACGTGCCCTTACCAAAGACAACAACCAGCTGGGACGTTTCGATCTCACTCAAATTCCACCAGCGCCACGTGGTGTCCCACAAATTGAGGTCACATTCGACTTGGACGCTAATGGTATACTTCACGTTAGTGCCGCAGACAAATCAACTGGACGTTCAAATAAGATCGCAATCAAGAACGAACGAGGACGTTTATCGCCTGCCGAGATTGAGCGAATGGTCGAAGAGGCGAAACGTTTCGAAGCCGAAGACAACCGTGAACGTGAACGAATCTCAGCACGTAACTCACTTGAAGCGTACGTTTTTCAAGTGAAACAAGCACTCAGCGATTACGGAGATCGATTGAGCAGTGAAGATCGTCAACAAGTTGCAAGTGTTTGCGACGATACGTTGAAATGGTTGGATTTGAATCAGACAGCT